CAGAGACTAATAAAATTTAAATTTTACCATCATTTCAAATAAATATATTTTGAATTACAAAATTTGTGAGACGCAATTTTTCAATTTGTGACCTTATGACTTAAAGAAGAAAACTATTACATAATAACTAAATAAAATATCTTTATAACTTCAAATAAAATTCTAGGACCTTTGACAGAAACTTTAAGTGCCAATTTAAATGTACTACGTGATTCTTATTTTATTTGAGATGCAGGCTAAAAGAGCGAATAATTTATTACCAAATCAGAAGCTAATTAAATAGAACAAACTAGATATATAGTTGACCTTAATAACTAAACTTTATTATAAAATGATAAAAATAAATTATAACTGCTAGGAACATCATATAAAATATTTCTTATTTTGGCAATTAAAAAATAATCAAAACTTTTCACTCTCTGGAATTACCAAGAGGAATTTCTTTCTGCAAATCTGAGCAATGAAATCTTACCTTTTTACACACACTGTCACGAAGACAACGTATTTGGTTTTGCATTTGTTTGCCAATATGAATTAAATAGTCTATACAAGTAGGAGTTGAATATAATTCATTACAGAATTCCAAGAGGCAGGTCCCATCAAATGGCTTTCCAGTTAACAGATGATATCTATAGACACACTTGGGTCAGAGAATCTTTTTTCTTTTCTTTTTGCATCTTTCATTGCTGGGAAATATATCACTAGTATTAAACTTTGAAAACTAAAGAGATTCACAAAAAAGGTGAACAGATCGCTGTCTTTTTTCTGCTCCTATCCTCCTGGGATAACTAGAATCTCAGAGCTGAAAGAAATTAATGTTGACTAGTTAATTCAAAATTTTGTTTGGTATATTTGTAAAGAGGAAATATGTCCAAAACAGTTGAATGACTTGTCTAAGGATAGACTGAGAGAATGGCAGATCTTTAATTCCAATCTCTTGATTAAGATGTGACCAAATCAGCCCTGACCGGTTTGGCTCAGCAGTTGGAGCATGGGCCTGCAGACCAGAGAGTTCTGGGTTCGGTTTCCCCTGGGCCCTAGTGACTAGAGGCACGTACCAAAAAAAAAAAAGATGTGACCAAATCAAAGAAATCATTGGGGAAAACTTGTTTCACCCATCCTGTAATAAAAGATACACAACAGAACTAAGATCTCCAACTGTTAGTCCACAGGTCAAATGGAAAACTAGCAAACCATCAGTCAGGTTATCTGTTGGGCATACACTAGAGAAAGGAATAATGATATTTTGTTTAGTAGAAACAAGACAGGCTTTGGAATCAAAGAAAGCTAAATATAAATTTGGATCTGTAACTTAATCTGTGTGACCTTGGGAAATGTCTTTGAGTTCCAGTTCTTTTACCTGAAGAAAAGGGGGATAAATTTTTTATCTCTCGGACTATCTTAAGAGTTAAATGATAAACCGTAAGTGAAATATCTGGCACATTAAAGGTCTTGATTAAAGGTCAAGTTATCTATTTCATAGGATTTATGTAAGATTCAAATACGTGCATTTGCAAGGTTCTAGATCATATAGAACAGCGAGAAAAGCATAGATTTTGGAGACCAAGTGTGTGGGTCTACATCTCAACTTTGTTTCTAACTGTCTGTATGTAGCTGGCCAAGTCACTTACCTTCAGTATCTCACAGTAAAACGAAGGTAACAATATTTGCCATACGTGGCTTCAGGAGTGCTTTCAGAATCAAATATGGGGATCTTTGTGTGTGCACTTTCTAACTACAAAGCACTACATATTTTATTGTTACTATCAAAAAACTAACTGCATTAAAAAGTAGCTTCTTCCTACAAAGATTAGGGAATTATGCTTTTGAAAAGGTAATATCACTCCCCAGGCACCACTGAGGAGTTCTTCAATTTTATCAGCCTCTATAAAATTTATTTAGATTCTACTAAACATATCTCCTCAAGATCAATGTTTCATCCCATTTTCTAAACGAAATTTCAAGCAAACTAATTTAGATAGAGTTTTGTTGCCTCTCAAAGATTTGGGGGTTAAGTTAGGGCAAAAGACCCTGTAAACCAACATATGATTATTTACTGGAAAGGTTATCCAGCTTGAGACACTAATGAGGGGAAATCTGTTTTTTATTAAACATCATAAGTTAAACTACTAATATCTGCCAGAAATGAAAATATATACATTAATAAACATTAATACTGAAAAGATCAGCTCATGACCCAGCTGGAAGTTGCTGTGGACACAAGTTGAGAGCCATGCCTTTGAGGTATGGGGATGGGAAACGCATGGTGTGGAGTAACGAGGCCCCTCAGAGTAATGCGGCCACTCAGCAGCATGGATAAAAATTATCTTTTTTGCTCTTTCCAATAAATCATCCTGATGCAATAAATTTTATAAACAGAAATATATAATAGGCACCTGGTTTGTTCTAAATGTTTACATGAATTAATCCCTATGGCACGGTTATGAGCTGCTATCCTTACTGCACAGATGTGTAAAAAGATGCAGAAGTAACTCCTTTGTGGTCATTCAGAAAAATCAGTAGCAAAGATTAAATATCATATATTACTTACTTTGTATCCTAACTGAGCTCTTGAGCTAAAAACCAAGTGCTTAGATAAGCACCAAGTGCCAAATAAAAGTCTTAATATGTAGGAAGTCACGAGTAATATTAATATTAATATTAGCAAATCATTTCACTACTGGCTAACAAATACACTATATCAAACTGTTAAAGCAAGTGAAATACATTAAATCATTAAATACTAGATTTAATTATAAATATAGTTGACTTGCAATGTAAATTTATTTACGATGTAAATAAATAAATCACCAAAGCGGGAGCTGCAGCTGTAGGGCCATTACCCTAACATTAGCAACTGTTAATTTTTCTCTACGACCTTTGGGAAATTTTTCTTTGCACATATAATAAAGATCAATACCCCTGAAAAAATCAATTGTATTTCTAAATATCAGCAACAAGTAGAAAATAAAGATGTTTACAGTAGTATCATAAAACAACAACAAATAGAAAACAATTCAATAAATCAGGGGAAACATCCATACACTAAAGTTAGTTAATTTCAATAAGGTTTTAGAAAGAAGATCTAATAAAGGCATATACCATTTTCTGGTTTTAGAAGACTCGTTGTAAAGATATCTATTATCCCCCAATTATATTGATTAACATATTAAATATAGTCCCATTGAAAAGCCCAGCAAGATTTTCTTTTCTGTGTAGAAATTCAGATGAAAATGCAAAAGGACAAGAATAATAAAGGTGACCTTGAAGAACAACTAAGCGGAAGAACTTTGACTGCAACATCAATTATAAAGAGAGAAATTAAAACACTGAGATAATGGCAAAAGAAGAGAAAAACAGGTCAGTGCACCAGAACAGAGGGTCCTGTAATAGACATGCAAGCATATGGTCACCTGATTTATGACAAAAGTGAAACTGCAATGCAATGGAGAAAGGAAAGTTTTCAATAAGTGGTGCTGGGTCAAGTGACTATATGAAAAATATATGAATCTTGATTCTTACCTTATATCACACACAAAAAAATAAATCCGTGATGAATTATAGATATAAATGTAAAAAAGTACAACAGTAACATTTAAGAGAAAACACAAAAGACCACCTTTATGATATTAAAGTAGGCAAATATTTCCTTAACTAGTCACAAAAAGCCTTAAATTAAAAAAAAAGACTGATAAAACAGAACTTCAGTTCATGTAAAGGTATCATTAAAGAATAAACTAGCAGCCCGGCCAGTGTGGCTCACTGGTTGAGCGTTGACCCATGCACCAAGAGGTCGCTGGGTCCATTCCTGGTCAGAGCACATGTCCAGGTTGTGGGCCCGATGCCCAGTGGGGGGCAGGCAGCAGGTGACCAATCTATGTTCTCTCTCATTGATGTTTTTATCTCTCTCCCTCTCCCTTCCTCTCTCTGTCTGGAATCAATGAAGAGAAGGAGGGTTTAAAAAGAAGAAACTAGCAAGCCATAGAATGGGAGCATATGTTTAATGCATATGTCAAACAAAGAACCCATATCCATTATATATGAAGAACTATCAAAAAAATTGTCAAGCCAATAAAAAAAAAATGGGCAAAAGACTTCAACAGGTACTTCACAAAGGAATGGATCCCAATCAGCCAGAAACATGAAATAGTGTTCAACTCCACTAGTCTGCAGGGAAATAAAAATTAAAACTGCAAGGAGTTACTACAACACGCCCACCAGAAAGGCTAAAATACAAGAGACAGAAAGTGCCAAATACTGGCAAGAATATGGGACAAGAGATCTGATACACTGCTGGACTGAAAGGAGGTAAACTGTCACAACCACTTTGGGAAGCTTTTGGACACAATCTGCTAAAGCTGAATATATGCATGCCCCAGAGACTATAATCTGCTCCTAGGTTTATAACAAAACAAAAACCTTCATTAAGAAACATGTACTGTAACATTCACGGAAGCAGTATCTACTAATAGTCCTAAACTAGAAATTACCTACATGCCAAAAGCTAGAATAAATTCATATTCGTACAATGGAATACTACTGGCAGTAAGAATGAACTAACACATTACGTGTAGGTAGGAATAAATTTTACAAACAAATGTTGAAGTAAAGCTAGCACATAAAATGTACATATGATATAATTCTATTCGTATAAAGTTCAAAATCGGGCAAAACCAATATTTGGTATAGTGGTGGTTAGTCTGGCTGGACATGGATGGAACGGAAGGGAACATGAGGAAGTTTCTGAGATTCTGGGGTCCTCGTAATGCTCTGTTTCTTGATGGACATTCTGCTGATGTAGGTGTGTTCACTTTGAAAGTTGAGATATAGAGTAAGTGCGTGTATATTTGCATATTCGCCTGTATTAATCTTCAAAGTACTTTTAAACATTTTTTAAATTATATCCGCATATTTATACAGAGATGACTATTTGGGTCTGTGAAGAAGAAAGGAAAATGTAAATGTGGAGGGTAGGCTATTTGTGAGATGTTTTTACTTACCTTTGTCCTGTAATGCAATTTGCTGCTTATGCAGTAAGGCCACCTCCCGTCCCAAAGCTTTCTTTTGTCTTTCCAGTTCATTTCGAAGCACCAAGATTTTTAATTGCAGGCACTCACTTTCTTTTTTCTAAATAATTAAAAGCACAGGTAAATTTATTAATATAAAAGTCATGGCTATAATTATACATTCATAATGTTTCAAAATGAATAATGATTTAAAGCACTTTAATACTCATCTAACTTATCTGTTGAGTAAATTAATTATCAGCACCCATAATTTTAATGGAAAGAGTATAGATGTCAGCAAAGAATAAGAGAATAAATAAATCTGAAGTCTGGAGACACAACTCAAAAGACACTACAAAATATCTCAAGCCTCTTCCCTAACATCACAGTACAGTAAGACAAAAATGAGTAACAGAAAAGAAATGGAGTTCTCAAAATGTTAAATACAGAGTTACCACAGGACCCAACAATCCCACTTCCAGGTATATATACCTAAGAGAACAGAAACACGTCCACACAAAAACCTGAATACGAATGTTCATAGCAGCATCACTTATAAGAGCCAAACAGTGGAATCAATCCAAATGTCCATCACAGATAGAGAAATAAAATGTGGCAAATCTATGCAGTGAAATATTATTTGGCCATAAAAAGAAATGACGTACTGATATATACCACAACACTGAAAACATTATCCTAAGTGAAAGAAGCCGGCTTTAAAAGGCCACAGACTCCATTTATATGAAAATTCCACAATAGGCAACTCCACAGAAACAAAGAGTAGATTTCCATCCTTATCAAACTGAACCAAGATGCTCTAATATGTCACAGATTTCAGAGGAGGCCAAGTAGGGACCTGGGGCTTTCATCCCTTCTAGGCAGTAACCAACCAAACCCCTGATTTGCAGAAGTCATGAGATCACCCTCTCTAGGCAGTAACCAACCAAACCCCTGATTTGCAGAAGTCATGAGATCACCCTCTCCCTCCCTGCTGGGTGATACCAAAGAAGGCCTAGTTGTGAGTCAGAAATTTCACTACTATGGAGCGTTAGCAGGTCACCGTATCCCCCTTGATATCAGTGGAGGCCATGTGAGGAGCAGTATCAAGGCTCCTCCTCTTCACAGCCAGGTAAGTAACAGCGGAGGTCTAGTGGAGAGCTGGAACTCCCACTGCTAGCCAGCAGTAATGAGCATGCGTGCATGCGTGCGTGCGCGCACACACACACATGTATACACACACCAGCTGGGTGTCAATGGAAGAAATGTGGGAACCTGGACTTCTATACCCACCTGGCAGGAATCTGATGCCACCTTTCCCTTCCCCTATCAGAGAGAGAGGTATCAGAGGAAGCCAGGTAAAACAGAAGGCATAAATAAGATCCAGAGACTCATAATATAATACCAAAAAGGTGTAAGTTCAAATAAAAAAAAAAATCACTCATACCAAAACGAGAAAGATGAAAGTAAATGAAAAGGGATAAGCAATAGATACCAACACTGAGATGAAAGAATGTTAAGATTACATAACAACAGCAATCAAGACTCAATTACAAGACTTCCGGTCAAGATGGCGGCGTAGGTAAACGCGGTATGGCGTCCTCCCACAACCATATCAATGTTACAACTAAACTACAGAACAACTATCATTCAAAACTGCCTGAAATCAAGCTGAATGGAAGTCCTACAACTTAAAGAACCAGCCTCATCGAGACTAGTAGGAGGGTCAGAGGCAGAGGGGCTGGTCCCACACCCACGTGTGGCGGATAAAAATCAGGAGGACACCTGAGCTGGGAAAGTCCTCCCTGAGGACTGAGGGGTCCCCATCCCACATCAGGCACCCTGCTCAGGGTTCCAGTGCCAGGAAGAGAAGTCCCCATCACTTCTGGCTGGAAAAACCAGCAGGAACTGAGGCTCAGGGAAGCTGAAGCGGCTGGAGCCCCAGGCAGCTCCCTAAAGGGCCCGCACACAAACTTTTCTGACTCACTCCCTCTAAGCTTGGAGGGGAGGCAGCTCAAGGAGCACCAGAGACATACAGGGAAGAACTGAGATGTTTGACATTGGAGCGAGGGCTAGAGAGGGGGCTTTCTCAGGGACAAACATGCTGTCAGAGGCCTTTGTTCCTTTGGTGAGCCCTTCCCTGGGGCGGCAGACAGTCACCATATCTGGGACTCCAGCAACCTGGCTCACACTGGTAGTCCCGCCCTGGTGATTCCCTGAGGCCCCACCCCACCCAACTTTCAGGCCCACCCAAGCTGTTGCCAGTTGCTTAACCACAGGATTGGCCTGTCTTGGATCCTGCTTCAGGTTTTCTTAAATTCTTTCAAACAAGCGGCATCTGGTCTCAGATAGCCCCATACCTCTCATTAAGTAATACACACAGAGAGGCAGCCAAAATGAGGAGACAAAGAAACAGGTCCCAAATGAAAGAACAGAACAAAACCCCAGGAAAAGAACTAAGCGAAATGGAGATAAGCAACCTAACAGATACTGAGTTCAAAATACTGCTTATAAGGATGCTCAGTGAACTTAGTGAGAAACTCAGCGAACATTGTGAGGGCCTCAAGAGCATAAAAGAGGACCAGTCAGGCCCTGGCCAGTTTGGCTCAGTGGTTGGAGCTACGACCTGCAGTTCAGAGAGACCCAGGTTTGGTTACCGCTGAGGGCACGTGCCTCGGTTGCAGTCTGTCCCCGGCCTGGTTGGTTGTGCGGGTGGCAGCCACTCGATGTGTCCCTTTCACATCGATGTTTCTCTCTCTCTTCCTCTCTCTCCCTCCCACTCTAGCTGAACAAAAAATGGAAAAATGTCCTCAGGTGAGGATTAAAAAAAAAAAAAAAAAAAGGACCAGTCAGAAATGATGGATGCACAGTCAGAAAAGAAGGAGGCACTAACTGAAATAAAGAATAATTTACAGAGAATCAATAATAGAGTAGATAAAGCCAAGAAGCAAACCATCAATTTGGAATATAAGGAAGCAAAAAACACCCAATAAGAACATAGAAAAGAAAAAAGAATCCAAAAAAATGAAGACAGTATAAGGAGTCTCTAGGACAACTTCAAGGGTGCCAACATTTGCATCATGGGGGTGCCAGAAGGAGAGGAGAGAGAACAAGAAATCGAAAACCCATTTGGAACAATAATGACAGGAAATGTCCTAACTTGGTGAAGAAAACAGAAATACAAGTCCAGGAAGCACAAAGAGTCCCAAACAAGATGAACCCAAAGAGGTCCACACCAACACACATCATCATCAAAATGCCAATGATTAAAGACAAAGAGAGAATCTTTTTTTTTTTTTTTTTATCCTCACCCGAGGACATTTTTCCATTTTTAGTTCAGGTAGAGTGGGAGGGAGAGAGAGGAACAGAGAGACAGAGAGAAACATCGACATGAAAGGGACACATCGAGTGGCTGCCACCCGCACGACCGACCAGGGCCGGGGACAAACTGCAACCGAGGTACGTGCCCTTAGCGGGAACTGAACCCTGGTCTCTCTGGACCGCAGGCCGACACTCTAACCGCTGAGCCAAACCGGCCAGGGCCAAAGAGAGAATCTTAAAAGCAGCAAGAGAAAAGCAGTTCGTTACCTACCAAGGAGCTCTCATAAAACAGTCAGCTGATTTCTCAAAAGAAAGTTTTCAGGCCAGAAAGGAGTGGCAAGAGATATTCAAGGTGATGAAAAGCAATGACCTACAACCAAGATTACTCTATTCTGCAAAGCTATCATTTAGAATGGATGGACATATTAAGAGTTTCCCAGACCAGAAAAAGCTAAAGCAGTTCATCACCAACAAACCAGTATTACATGAAATGTCGAAGTGTCTCTTTGAAGGAGAAAAAGAACAAAAATATGAAAAATAAAATGGCGATTAATACATATCTATCAACAACCGAATCTACAAACAAAATGAGCAAGCAGAACAGAAACATTCTCACAGATAGAGAACTTTTTGTTCCTTGCCAGATGGGTGGGGGCTGGAGGGATGGGTGAAAAAGATGAAAGAATTAAGAAGTACAAATTGCCCTGGCCGGTTTGGCTCAGCAGTTAGAGTGTCAACCCACGGACCAAAGAGTCCTGCGTTCAGTTCCCGCTAAGGGCATGTACCTTGGTTGCAGTTTATCCCCACCCTGGCTGAGGTCATGTGGGTGGCAACCAGTCCATGTGTCTCTCTCACATAGATGTTTCTCTCTCTCTCTTCCCCCATCTCTCCCTCCCACTCTATCTGAGGATAAATGCAAAAATGTCCTCAAGTGAGAATAAAAAAAAAAAGTGCGAAATGGTTGTTGGACTGATGAGCCTCAAAGAGAAGGAGGAAGGGAGGGTGGGATGAGATAAACCAAAGAATTTCTATGCATATATGCACAACCAATGTACAACAACAATAGTGTGGGGAAGGCAGGAGGGGGGCAGGACTGGGGAGGGGGTCAATGGGGAAAAAAGGGGTACATCTGTAATACATTCAATAATAATGGTAAGTTTTTAAAAATTGCATAAAAGACACTCTGAACAGAAAACTTCAAGATTCAGAAGGAAAGAAAAGATAATGCTCCTGAAAAGGTAAATTGAAGAATGAAGAAGAATCTCATAGTGAACAGTCTTCAAGTGAAACCCAGTGGAAGAAACTTAGTTTTTTGGATCAGTGACAGGTTTGAAACCGCCCCCCACTCCCCTTAAAAAGGAAAAAAAAACACAAAAAAAAACATGAGAAGCACAGACCAGCCTGTGGAAGAGTGAAATACTGAGCAGGCTGAAGAACTCAGCAACCAACTAACTACCTGAAAACCTGGTATAAAAATTGCCAAAGCGATGCCTGCCTTAACTTTGTAAAGCCAAAAAGGAGGCTGAAAATTCACAAGATGCTTGAACAAAGAACCTTGCATGGGGATTTGAAGCTAAGAAGAGATGGGAAACCAAAAGCAACATGAGACATATGTAATTTGCCAGAGTTCTTCAAGACACTGTATCTTTTACTGAGTTTTTACTTGAGTCTTTAATTGCTCAACTGACTGAAAAGATATTTCTGCTTATGTTAAATATGTCAGGAAATTGATAGAAGTAGAAAAATTAATATAAAATTTGGAAGTTATCAAATATTTTTAATCTTTTTCTAAAGAGTTCATCT